TATTATGGGTAGCAACACAAGTGAGTGTAGCAACACAAGTAAGTGTAGCAATACAATTAAGTGTAGCAATACAAGTACGTGTAGCAACACAAGTAAGTGTAGCAATACAATTAAGTGTAGCAATACAAGTACGTGTAGCAACACAAGTAAGTGTAGCAACACAAGTAAGTGTAGCAATACAATTAAGTGTAGCAATACAAGTACGTGTAGCAACACAAGTAAGTGTAGCAACACAAGTAAGTGTAGCAACACAAGTAAGTGTAGCAACACAAGTAAGTGTAGCAGTACAAGTGTAGCAACACAAGTAAGTGTAGCAATACAAGTAAGTGTAGCAACACAAGTAAGTGTAGCAATACAAGTAAGTGTAGCAATACAAGTAAGTGTAGCAACACAAGTGTAGCAATACAAGTGTAGCAACACAAGTAAGTGTAGCAATACAAGTAAGTGTAGCAACACAAGTAAGTGTAGCAACACAAGTAAGTGTAGCAATACAAGTGTAGCAACACAAGTAAGTGTAGCAATACAAGTAAGTGTAGCAATACAAGTAAGTGTAGCAATACAAGTAAGTGTAGCAATACAAGTAAGTGTAGCAATACAAGTGTAGCAATACAAGTAAGTGTAGCAATACAAGTAAGTGTAGCAATACAAGTAAGTGTAGCAATACAAGTAAGTGTAGCAATACAAGTAAGTGTAGCAACACAAGTAAGTGTAGCAACACAAGTAAGTGTAGCAATACAAGTGTAGCAACACAAGTAAGTGTAGCAACACAAGTAAGTGTAGCAATACAGGTAAGTGTAGGAACACAAGTACGTGTAGCAATACAAGTAAGTGTATCATTACAAGTGTAGGAACACAAGTGAGTGTAGCAACACAAGTAAGTGTAGCAATACAAGTGTAGGAACACAAGTGAGTGTAGCAATACAAGTGTAGGAACACAAGTGAGTGTAGCAATACAAGTGTAGGAACACAAGTGAGTGTAGCAACACAAGTAAGTGTAGCAATACAAGTGTAGGAACACAAGTGAGTGTAGCAATACAAGTGTAGGAACACAAGTGAGTGTAGCAATACAAGTGTAGGAACACAAGTAAGTGTAGCAATACAAGTGTAGGAACACAAGTGAGTGTAGCAATACAAGTGTAGCAACACAAGTAAGTGTAGCAATACAAGTGTAGGAACACAAGTGAGTGTAGCAATACAAGTGTAGCAACACAAGTAAGTGTAGCAATACAAGTGTAGGAACACAAGTGAGTGTAGCAATACAAGTGTAGGAACACAAGTGAGTGTAGCAATACAAGTGTAGGAACACAAGTAAGTGTAGCAACACAAGTGTAGCAATACAAGTAAGTGTATCAACATCTCAATAAAAGAAACTACAAAAGAAAGCAATGCAAATAATAACAGAACATAAAAGTGAAATAAACGTGAAGAACATGAAACAAAAGAAAATTACTGTATATTTCGATCCACGAGTGAGACTCTCTTTAGTAAACTAACAAGTTATAACGTGTTCAAGATGGTCACACTGCTAGGCCGAAATATGCAGTACTCTTCTAGTTTACTTTCTGTGTGATCATTTATCCCTAATGCTATACATATCTAGAGTCTACCTGGAGCCAGTTTCAAGGAATCACTGCCCCAGCGGGTCAGTCCCAGACCAGGCCTCCATCTTGTCCGAAATTCTTCCCTAAAAAGTCAGTTACACTGTACTTTCGGAAGTACGTATATCATAATATACCAATTATAAATACCGGAGGCATCCGTTCCAAATTTGCACAAAGAAGTAAGTCCTACCAAAACAAGAAGGCAAGTCAAATGACACACAATACAATAAAAATCATAGGTGGACTAAGCACACTAAGAGACAACTCAATAAACATAATGGGACCAAGGCTATTCATAACCCATCCTTCGTATATATGAGAAATTACTTATGGTTCGCCTTCAACAGGGAAGGTGACAAGATTAAGAAAATTCTGATTAGGCAAGTTGTTTTCCCAACGTGAATGCGTGAAGCTAGCACTAACAGCCTAAATGATCTGGCCGTCTGCCATGAAGACTGGTCAGAAACCTGGCCTCTGGTGGTTGTGTTCCCCAGAATGCTCTCCATGTAAGCAGTCTGCAAACAGTTATGGAAAGAATGAAGACTGCAAGAGAGGCATTGTATACAAAACCAAAAGGAGAAAAGGGAACATTTGAAAGATCCTCGTGTAATAATGTCAGTTAACCTTTCAAAGAGCACAGTAAGGCAAATATCACCAGGGAAATGAGGGGGTGGATAATGATAACTGCCAAAACAAGGGAGGCAGTGCCAATGGTGGCACTCGTTAAATCACTCGAGCTCTCTCGCTTAGAGCGTTGTTCAATGTTGACGGTTCCTTTCAGGGCAGGAGAGATATCAGAGCTGGAACAGATTTGTTGGGCTGACTGATTTAGAGATCATTAAGAGCCCACATAGAGCCAATAAAGCATTTGAATTACTGAGAAAGCCTCAAGTCCTGAATCTATACTCGCAGGCGGGAGAGAGAGAGAGAGAGATGATAAAATATACGTGGAAGGTACTTGAGGGCCTGGTCCCAAATCTTCACATTTCCATAATAGAGTGAGAGATGCGGGTAAAGGTGTAAAAAGCCCAGTGAAACATAGGGGCGCCGTGGACACAATAAAAGAACATTGTATCAACATTCGTGGTTCCAGACTATTTAACACACTACAACAAGATATCATTCGGAAGCACTCTTGAAGCAAGTGTAGACATTTTCAAGAGAAAATCGGACATGCACTTCTTGATCAACCAGGTTGTGATGCTGATGTGGGCCAGAGGGTCGCGGTAGCAGCAGCCTGGTTGACCAAGCAAGAATCTGACGAGCCTGGTCCAAGGCCGGGCTACCAGGGTAGAAAAGCTCTAGAAACCCTTCAAAAGATATATATATATATATATATATATATATATATATATATATATATATATATATATATATATATATATATATATATATATATATATATACATATATATATGTCGTGCCGAATAGGCAGAACTTGCGATCTTGGCTTAAATAGCAACGTTCATCTTGCCATATAGGACAAGCGAAAATTTGTGTATGGAATAATTTCGCCAAAATCATTCTGAACCTAACGAAAAAAATATATTTCACTGTGTTTATTTATTATTAAATTATTGTAAACAAATCTAAAATATATTTAGTTGGGTTAGGCTAAAATAAATTGTTCTTGTTATAATAAGGTTAGGTAAGTTTTCTAAGATTCTTTTGATGCAAAATTATTAATTATTACATTAACATTAATGAAAAAAATATATCTTTAAACGTATAAGAGAAATTTTTAGAAAGGACTTAATTTTAAATGAGTTCTTGCTAATCAAACAGCTCCAGGAGAGAACCTCGAGGTTTTCCCTCAAGTAAGTTTATTCTTTTCTCAGAGGATGAGGGTTCCCAGCACAGTTCCAGAGGTGGTACGTCCCTACATATATAAACACATAAATACACACACGCACACACACACACACACACGGGCCAGGAGCTCGGATTCGACCCCCGCAACCTCAACTAGGTGAGTACACACACTCACACACACACACACACACACACACACACACACACACACACACACACACACACACACACACACACACACAGAGGTATGATAAAGCTCACGGTTCAGGGAGAGTGACCTAGTAGCGACCAGTGAAGAGGCGGGACCAGGAGCTAGGACTCGACCCCTGCAACCTCAGCTAGGTGAGTACACACACACACGCACACACAGATATACATGTACACATACACAAATGAAAATTGAAGACTCAGATGAATCAAAGAGATGTTAGAAAGTATTTCTTTAGTCATAGAGTTGTCAGGAAGTGGAATAGTCTGGCAAGCGATGTAGTGGAGGCAGGAACCATACATAGTTTTAAGACAAGGTACAATACAGCTCATGAAGCAGGGTGAGAGAGGACCTAGTAGCGATCAGTGAAGAGGCGGGTCCAGGAGCTATGTCTTGACCCCTGCAGCCACAAATAGGTGAGTACACACACACACACACACACACACACACACACACACACAGTGATAGATATTGTGATGATATACGTCAGGTTTAGGGTAACACAACGACGTACAAAACTCAAGGCAGAACTCAACAATCTTCTCTCTCTCTTCCTAATCCTCCCCACTACACATAAACCCCAATATTCTTATTAATTTACTCTACGAAATGGTTCAGCTGAAAAAGAACACACGGAGTCTTCATATAAGCTTTTGGAACGCTTACAAGCTCAATTTTCCATTCAGAAATCAAAGAGTGAAGTCAAAAATCCTTGTAAATATTTAATGTCTTTCTTTTCCTGGGTTGGTGTGGTGGGCGGAGTTTGAGGTGTGTAGCGGTCACCTGATTGGCCGAGTCGTGGTTTACACACATGCCAGATACTACTTTATGCATCCCTCATCTCACACATTAATACCTACAGACTGCTATAACAGTCTCTCTTTGGCGTCCACGACTGTGTGGAGGTGTCTTTGGTCTCCTATGTGTGTAGGGGTTTGGCACTTCCACGAATAGGTAATTTTTTTTTAGGGAAATAAAGAGTAGATACATTCTTAGGGGACAGAGAGGTTGTGTGGGTGACGCTCCGGGTGGAAGTGGTAGCTCCGAGCCGCCACTGGTAATGATAGAGTCAATCGCGTCTCCGGGCCGGCGTGCGAAGTCGGCGACACACAAAAATGCATTTTTTTCTATTTTTAATTCCCCGAGTAAGGGATTCTCCATCACACCACGCCACGTGAGCATCATCGACGGCCCCAAATCGCACGGCAACCGGAGGTTAGCGATGGAGGCGAAGGAGAACTCGATGAGCGGACGGAAGGAAAAAATTAAAATAAGGTGTCGGGGGTTGTGCAGGTGTTCGGACGAGTTTTGGGTTCACCGCGCGGTTGGCCGTCGGGAGGCGGGTACTCCTGGGCGGGCCAGACCTCCCAGACCGTCAGCCAGCCAGTCAGTCATCCTCAGACCGCCACTCTCACTGGACCTGCCACTCCTCACACTCATACAGTGGTCCACTCTTGTTTACCATCTTGCTGGCCTCTTAAAGTGCTGCGTCAAACCCAACGGCTCCTACGCGACAACCCGACGCAACCGCTCCGTAACCAACATTTTCTTGGGCAGTGTTCCGTCGCGTGTTGGTGGTGTTACGCTTATCAGAAAACACAAACTTGTGCAAGATTTACCGATATTGACAAATAACTTCTGAGTGCTCAGAGGAGTTTTTTTTTTTAAGTTGTGTTCTGATCAAGAGACGGTAATTTTTTTTTTTTGCGGTTATCATTGTGCTAGAATTTGACTAAACATTTGTGATCATTCTTGTAATAATTAAGATAATAATTGTTCGTAAGTGTTAAATTATTCGCCCCCATCCCCCCCGGCCCCATGAGAGAGAAGTGCCGCAAGGAGTGACAGTGGAGGTGGAGTGACACTCCCAGTTCGTCCGCACCTCACCACTAATCCCCAGACCCCCACCACAACCCCCAACCCCTACACAAAACCCCCTCCTTCTTCATTGCCACCTCAAGATTACCACAAGCCAGCTAGCGCCACCAGTACAACGCTGTGAGGTTCACCACCAGAGTAGCAGCTCCAGAGCTGACGATACCAAGGATAAAGTCTTCTCATCTTCCTTCAGTCTTGGAGTAAAGACGGGTTGTTGGTCGAAGCTTGTCTGCATACATCCTCAGGATTATTATTATTTGTGTGAAACGCAAAACCCGTGTGGAGCATTCAGCAGGAGGAGTGGAGGGAGGCTTGATCTTACGGTCCGCTAAGACCCGAACAAATACGCTAATTGTACTCACAAGCGTCCAGCCAGCCACGTGAACGCCTGTAAAGGCCGCCCAAACACTTGCTAGGAGCTCCTTATGCTAGTAAACAATACTGAATGAGTTGTGTTGTCTACTAGTAAGGTGGCCTCCACGGTGCCAGCCCTCGGTGCCAGCGAACACTCCCTTGTGCGACTGATTGAAATCTTCTGATACTGGAAAAATATATCCCCCTGGTGGAGAACATTAGTGCGATCATTAATCATCTTCAAGACCCCAAGATACCACCGCTGGCGCACGATTATGTAAGCGGCAAGCAAAAGTAGTGCTTGCGTTGCTGCCGTTGCCGCCATAGCAAGGGGCATCGGGCAGGCTTCTGCCGCGTGCCGCCGCTTCAGCGGGACGGTCGAGTCATACGGAGGTGTGTACACGTGTGCGTGATTACAGGTGCAGGAAGGAGTGCGTGGCGACCAGGTAGGTCTTGCATCGCCGGCGCCGTGGCTCCCCATGCAGGCGCCGCCGACCCGCGCGCCCTGATGACGGTGGCGTGGCGCAGCGCAGGGGACATGGCGACGGAGGTGGGCGGCATGGGTGGGATGAGCGGCGGGGGCGAACACCCTGGAGAACTGATGAAGACCGGCTCGCCTAACATCCTGTGTACGGCGCTGCCCAGTCACTGGAGATCAAACAAATCGCTACCCATGTCCTTCAAAGTGGTGGCTCTGGACGATGTCAAAGATGGCACCATCGTCACCATTAGGGCCGGAAACGACGAGAACTTTTGCGGCGAGCTGCGCAACAACTCCGCCGTCATGAAGAACCAGGTGGCCAAGTTCAACGACCTCCGCTTCGTCGGTAGGTCAGGCAGAGGTAAGTGCAGGACAATGTTGAAGATAGCATCATCAAATAACCCATTTCGGTTAGTCATCTAAACCAACCGAAACGACTGACAAATGATAAAAAGGACTACCAAAACAATCATGAAAATACCGTAGTAAGGTCGGAATATGAATGGTAGTTACTAGGTCGATATTAATATAAAAATGGATACTTAACTTGCATTCCGGGGAGACGCCACGACTTGACAACTAACCCACAAACTTGAAATAAAAACCAAACGTCTTTTCGGCCGTCCTGAACCATAGGTAAGGCGTCAGGGTTTCATATCCAGTTATGGGGTTAATTATGAACCGGTCCAGCAAAGGTATTTCGACTTGAAACCTTCAATAACAGCAAAGCGCACAGAGTGCTGCTGAGAACCCGGAACACAGAATCTCAAAGGGACTTCAATATGGATTTCAATAAAGTAGGTACGAAAGATTAGAGAATTTATGAGTAAATAAATCATGATATTAATTACTGAACAGTAAAGAGATTATTAGCTCAAAGCAAATATTCAGGAAAGAACACAGATCCGAGGTTCAAACAATTCACGACAAACCCGAAAAATTATAAATAATACATGTGTAGCTGTAAGAAAATTTAATGCGGACACGTTTCGCCCATCAGAGACTTTACTAATTCAATGGCAATGGATTGATGAAGCCATAGATGGGCGAAACGTATCATTATTTATGTTTCCTAAAGTTTCACATGTCTCATTTTCATACAGTTGATGGTGTAATATGCCTTTCGTTAATACCTAACCCACAAATCAGAAATGAAAACTGGAAGATGTTTCGATCCACCTTGGAGCATTATCAAGTTTTCCATCATTCTAGAGAGCATTGAAATGTGGGGGGTAAGAGTTTGGGGTGGCCCTGAAGGACCCTCCGTCAGGTATGGGTGGGACTTTTCACACCATCTAGTAAAACAGCCGGGTTTCCCTTCTGAGTGGCCCTCCGTCAACTACTGGAACGGTTCCCCAGAAGGAGCCTCCGTCAGGTACGGCGGCGGGGTCGTCGTCGCCCACGTGGATTTATGGCAGGAGTGAGGACCAGCAGGTGGCGACAGTGTTGGTTGTCAGGGATCACGGGAGAGAGACAACGAGCATCTCTGCTACCACAACATCGCATCATCAGGTGGCCACCTCTCAGGCCTCTCCTCCCCTCCAGGTCTAACGCTTGTCAACCTTTTGAAGGGAGGAATGTCCCTGATGCTTTCAGGGCTCTTGATTCAAAGAATTGCAGCTGCCCTCCCCTGCAGGACTTCCATATTCTAGGGGCTGTATGGCCCTTGCTCTTCCCTATAAATCTAATAATACTAATTCTTGTCACAACATAGAAGCAAATTCCTGTGAGTCGCGACAACGCGTTTAACATCCCTCTTAATGTAATCAAAGATATCTATAGCAAAACGCGCCTTGTTAAAGAGACTAACATGTTAACATTAAGAAAGTACCGCTCATTGACCTAATATCGGAGACTACACAATTCATGAGTGTCACAGCAGTTGGTCTGGTCCCTACCGACCGCGCCTGGGACTGTTATCCCGTCACCCGGAGTTTGGAAACCTATTGACAGGTTACAGAGGATGTAGGGAGGCTTGCGTCGGCACACTGACGCCGCTATGAATATTACCCTCCTCTCACTCACAACCAGTGCTACTTCTTACACTCTTCTTCCTGATGAGTCTGCATGAACGATATATATATGTATATATATATATATATATATATATATATATATATATATATATATATATATATATATATATATATATATATATATATATATATATATATATATATATATATATATATATTATATATGTATATATGTATATATGTATATATGTATATATGTATATATTATATATATATATATATATATATATATATATATATATATATATATATATATATATATATATATATATATATATATATATATATATATATATAATATATATATATATGCAAAACAACCACTCTGAAAGAATATTTTGAAATCACCTGTTTACTGTGATCTTATTGCATATATATATATATATATATATATATATATATATATATATATATATATATATATATATATATATATATATATATATATATATATATATATATATATATTTTCTCTGATTTACAGCGTTCACTTATACGTTTAAAGATTTTTTGTTCATTTACGCTAATGTAAAAATTAATAATTTTGTACCTACCTACCTGGAATCTACCAAAAGATCCTTAGAAAATTTACCGAACCTTATTATAACAAGTGCAATTTAAGTTAGCCTAATCCAACTAAATATATTTTAGATAAGTTTACAATAATTTAATACTAAATATACACAATGAAATATATTTTTTAGTTAGGTTCAGAACGATTTTTGCGAAATTATTGCATACACAAATTTTCTCTTGCCTTATTCGGCAAGAAGAGCGTTGCTATTCAACCCAGAATAACAGGGTTTGCCTATTTAGCTCGACATATATAAATATACATAAATCGTGCCGAATAGGCCTAACTGGCGAGTATGGCCTAAAAAGTAGGCTTATTTTCTTCCAAATAAGCAGAGCTAAAATTGATTTTATACAATAAATCTGCAAAACTTAATCTGAACGTAGCGAGAAAAATATAAATCATTGATTTTTAGTAATATTAAATACATTTAAATTTATTTATGATATATTGAGTAGAATTTGCCTAACAAAAAATTACGTTAGGGTAGATGAGGTTTGTAAGTTAGGTTAGGTTAGGTTTATAAGTTAGATTACCTGGTTACCTGGAGGTTATTCCGGGGATCAACGCCTCCACGGCCCGGTCCATGACCAGGCCTCCCGGTGGATCAGGGCCTGATCAACCAGGCTGTTACGTACGAGCCACAGCCCGGCTGATCCGGCACTGACTTTAGGTATCTGTCCAGCTTTCTCTTGAAGGCAGCCAGGGGTTTATTGGCAATTCCCCTAATGCTTGATGGGAGGCTGTTGAACAGTCTTGGGCCCCGGACACTTATGGTGTTTTCCCTTAGTGTACCAATGGCGCCCCTACTTTTAATTGGGGGCATTTTGCATCGCCTGCCCAGTCTTTTACTTTCGTAGGGAGTGATTTCTGTGTGCAGATTTGGGTTAGGTGAGGTGAGGTTTATAAATAAGGTTAGGTTAGGTTTATAAGTTAGGTTAGGTTAGGTTTATAAGTTAGGTTTGGTTAAGGTTAGGTTAGGTTACGTTTATAGGTTAGGTTAGGTGAGGTGAGGTTTTTAAGTTAGGTTAGGTTAGGTTTATAAGTTAGGTTAGGTTAAGGTTAGGTTAGGTTAAGGTTAGGTTAGGTTTATAAGTTAGGATAGGTGAGGTGAAGTTTATAAGTTAAGTTAGATTAATTTTAGGTTAGGTTTATAAGTTATGTTAGGTTAGGTCAGGTTAGGTTTATAAGTTATGTTAGGTTAGGTCAGGTTAGGTTTATAAGTTGGGTTAGGTTAGGTTAAGGTTAGGTTAGGTTTACAAGTTAGGTTAGGTTAAGGTTAGGTCAGGTTAGGTTTATAAGTTAGGTTAGGTTTATAAGCTAGGTTAGATTAGGCCAAGGTTAGGTTTTTAAGTTAGGTTAGGTTAGGTTACTATTATAAGTTAGGTTTGGTGCCAATTTTAATATAAAAAATTGCTCCTTATTCAATGAAAAATATTTCTATTAATCCATAAAAGAAAACTTAGAAAAAAATCATTTTTTAAAGCATTTCGGTTTAATTTAAAAATTCGGTTTATTAGGCACGACACACACACACACACACACACACACACACACACACACACACACACACACACACACACACACACACACACACACACACACACACACACACACACACACACACACACACACACACACACACACATATATATATATATATATATATATATATATATATATATATATATATATATATATATATATATATATATATATATATTGTTAGGTGAATAATGTTTGACGTGAACAGAACAATGTTTGTTGTTCACTGAATAATGTTCACTGAATAATGTTCACTGAATAATGTTCACTGAATAATGTTCACTGAATAATGTTCACTGAATAATGTTCACTGAATAATGTTCACTGTCAACTGAATAATCATTGTTGGTACAATAATGGAAGATGGTCTGCAATGCCTCATCGTGCAACCCTGCGCTTCGTGGTCTCTGTAAGACTATTCACCTTAATACTGGCTAGAATACCTCAAGGATACCTGACGACGATTTCGGGGCTCGCCGCCTCCTCTGCCTGCTTTCTGGTTGCTTGCCTGATCGACCATGTTGTTGGTTCTGGCTGCATGCAGAACGTATGCACCACAGCCTGGCTAATCAAGAATTAACATGATAAACTTATCAAACTCACTCTCTCTCTCTCTCTCTCTCTCTCTCTCTCTCTCTCTTGAAGACAGCTAGGGGAGTGTGTTGGTAATTTCCCTTATGTATGAAGGGAGGGTGACGGGTCTTCGTTCCATTACAATTGTTGTATGGACGCTTGATGTGTGTACTCACTGATGCGTGTATATGGGGGTCGAGTATCAGCTCCTGTGTGTGTGTGTGTGTGTGTGTGTGTGTGTGTGTGTGTGTGTGTGTGGGTGTGTGGGTGGGTGTGTGTGTGTGTGTGTGTGTGTGTGTGTGTGTGTGTGTGTGTGTGTGTGTGTGTGTGTGTGTGTGTTGTGTGCGGGTAGGTGTAAGTTGAACCTGCCTAGCATGGGCTAGTAGGCCTGCTATGGTGTTACTTCATTCTTGTGTTTCGAATTCAATGTCTTGAATTCATTCTCTAAAGCACTGTTTCTAAAGCAGTTTCTAAAACACTGTTTCTAAATCAGTTTCTAAAACACTGTTTCTAAATCAGTTTCTAAAACACTGTTTCTAAAGCACTGTTTCTAAAGCAGTTTCTAAAACACTGTTTCTAAATCAGTTTCTAAAACACTGTTTCTAAAGCACTGTTTCTAAAGCAGTTTCTAAA